ACCCAGTATAAACAATAAAGCCCATGTAAATTAAATAAACATAAGGATTAGACCTTAACAAGACAACGCGAGGTTTTCAGGTTCATAAAAAGAAAAAGAATATAAACACGACAGATGGGATCAAACAAAAAAAAATGAAACGTGAAGGGTATCGCAAAAGCGTAATCACGGTTGACCTCTACAGTTTATCAGATTCATCAACTTTTCCCATCTTGAAATTCATGTTGCTACCATTGCTCGTTGCAGATGGTGATTTTGAATCATGCTGCTCTGATTTATCACCATTAACTTGTGGTGAATGAGAATTTTGTTCTGAAGATTCATCTGATCGTTCTTGTCGTCCATTTTCTTGATTTACTCCATTACTGTGATGTTGTTCACTATCAGAATGGTAACCTCCATGATGTGTTGATGCGCTGTTTGCTGGAGTATGATAGAAATGTAACCCTTCTACATATTCTTGTGAATGATATGCTGGAGAAGTTAGAGGATGATCTGGAAGTTCTGTTGATTGTGGAATCTCAATCTTCATAAATGGTTTGCCACCAACAGCAGCAACATTCGAATTTGCGTTTGAAATTGGACGTGATTCAAAATTAGAGAATGCCGAGTGTGGAGCAGAAGTTGTAGCAACTATACATATAATTACATATCAAATTATTAATATAGCTCTTATATATTTTGTAAATTTTCAAAATTATATATATTTTGTATATATTTTGAAAATTTATATGAAGATATTACCTCCTTCCATATGCATATCAATCTGTTGACCTTGATGTACTTTTTGATCATGTGAGCCGTTAACAATATTCGGGTCCATGTTAGGATTATTATACACTTCTGGATTTTGATTTTCAGCATCCCCAATGCTTGACACCATATATTGTTGATGAGGATGTTGTGGATGAAAAGGTGGTGTTTGTCCATTTGGACCAGTCATCATCAATAAAGCATCATTTCTAATTGGTCCACCGGTCACTGGTGGGAATCCTTGAAAAGGTGGGTACTGTCCGTATGGTCCCGGAAAAGGACCACCATTAAAATCTTGTGGCATCACCGATCCATTTGGTCCGGCAGGATGTGGAAAACCAATATGACGATCATTTGGGAATGCTGGGTTCATTCCAATTGGGTTATAACGATCATGATTATCAGCATAATGGCCAGGGCTACGACCACGTACGACCAAAGGTGCTGAAGTTGATGTAGCAACACGATATTGTTCACCATTTTCCACTTGAGCATAAAGATCAACCATTACCACATAATATTGCTGTGCAGCTCGACGTTTTCCATTATTTGCAGTTGCAGTTTTAAATTGAATACGTTCAAAAGTAACTATATTTGAATTAGAACCAACTGAACTAAGATTTAGATTTCCACCAGGACGAATAGGTTTTGGAACCGGAACCATTTGAGGTCCTTTATCACGTTTTGGAGTGTGTTGTACTAACTCAATCTTTTTGTCACTGTTGGATACTCGTGCCGTGATTCCTAACAAGAATTGTGTGACATTATGAAATTGACCATCTACTTCAACCAAACATGGTACATCAGCTTCATTAACGGGGTGAGTCGCACTTGAGATGGAAAATGCACTGCTAATCTGAAAATAATTTCTTCGATAGCACGTCCAATCATTATCGGCCAAAAAGAAACCACGATCAACTTTTGAATTGATGCGAAGTTTAAAACTAATTTATTTAATAAAATGGTAATAAATAAATAAATAAATAAATAAATAAATAAAGTTTTTTTAAAAAAAAATTTCTTTAAAAAGTAATAAAGAAGCGATTTAGAATTATTAATCAATAACTAACCCATAAGTCCTATCCATGCTACATAAATTATAATGTTGTTGAGTTTGTGAAAAGAAAGGGCCAGCGTCTACCGGAAAGCCAGATGCGTCAGCCCTACGCTTTCTTACACTAGGTTGGAATGGTGCCGCGTGAAATGATGTGAAGGCTGGGCGGTTATCAATCTTACGATCAGGAGCAGGATTTTGTGTGTTTGTGGTCGAATTGATGTTCGGGGAATCATTTTGTCGAGGAGTCGTAGGAGTAGCAGGGGTAGACATTGAAACAAAACTACGAATTGGAATATCAAGTATTAGAGGAATATATTTTTTTGAATTATGATACATTTAAACGGTTAGTATTAAAAAATAAAAATAAAAATAAAGGAAATTGAAAAATATAAGATATAATAAAAGGATTGAAAAAGAGCACGATGATCACAGCTTCCACCACATATGCGTAAATTATTTTGGCCTTGGGAATAAGTTGGTATACGCAAGGAAGACGCATTGATTATACCTCCGAAATCTTTACTACCTTTGATATTGAGGTTGTCTATCATGTGGGTTGACAATCTCTTGCTTTGGTGAGATAAACATGTTAAGATAAGTGTTATGAGTGGGCCTTGAAAAGAAGGGATACATTGTGAGAGGGATATATATGTGTTTAAAAGCACATATACCGGTGTTAACTGGTTAGGTCAGAAAGGGAGGAAAGCAGTGGAGGCAGGAGAGCGGCAGGACGCAGCGTCAAAGACTTCAGGGCATAAAGCGTGTGTAAGGTAACACGCGGCGGGAAGAAACATCAACTTGCATAACCCAAACAAGTTTGTACCAAGTACAAAATAAAACGCGGGTGGTGTGCTATGCTCGTTGTGGAAACTGTAAAACGTGCGCGGTACGAAACCGACGTGTAAAAAAAAAAAAAAATTAAATAAAAATATATAAAAGCCTGTCAACACTTACATTGGTTGGGAATGAATTTGACCTTGCGTCGCTTGACTGTCGTATGAGAAAGGTTGCATAAAGTTGTCTGTAGGCATACCGTTCATCTGTGGAGACATTGTGGAATGCTGATGTTGAGGAGAAGGGGGAACTTGAGAAGTTTGTTGAATTGACCACTTTTCCTCAGAAATGTTCATAATATTGTTATGCCAAAATGTAGGTAGAGCACCCCTTGCGGACGTTAGAAAATATTTTCAAAAAAATTGTAACAGGATCAACGGTAACGAGATTCCTCAGAGCTATAAAGTATATAGGGTACGGAGAAAAAAAATAAAAAGAGAAAAATTTAATAAAGCGAAAAACCATGAATTTA